GGGGCTCCCCGGGCAGAGCGGTTTGGCCCAGCCCTGGCTTGGAGCCAGGTGGAAACGCGCTGGTTTCCAGCTGAAGTTTCCCACCCATGTCCCAAAGCACCGGCTTTGCTCCGTCTCCCGGTGCTGTCGCCGCTGCCAGAGGCCTCCTGCCAAACCGAGCAGGGCTGGGTGTCAGAGCCTGCGGGAGCGGTGAATGCCCTGAAACCTTGTCCCGTCCTCAGCTCTCCCGGCTGTTTGGGGAAGCAGCATGGCTGCACCGTGCCTCCCCTCCCAGGGGAAGGAAATAATCCATCTGCTTCCACCGAGGGCGATGCTCAGTTTCACGCTTGAACTTCACACAGCGGCTGGGCATCACATGGACACCTGCGGTGCTTGGCTTGGGAAGGGGAAGGGAGTGGTTTGAGCAGAAATCGGAGCGTTTTAAGTTGACCTGCCAGGGCAGCATGAGGAAATCGGAGCGTTTTAAGTTGACCTGCCAGGTGGCGTGCTGCATTGCCACCCAGCAGCCCCTCACCACTGGCCGGGTCCCCACACAGGTGCCTCCATGCTCTGAAGGTAGGCTGGAAGGTGTGCTGGGCGAAGGCAGAGGAGGAGGAGGAGCAGAGCCGCATAGCCTTCCTCTCCCACGACATCAGCATGCTGCGCCTCTTCGAGACCTTCCTGGAGAACACCCCGCAGCTCACCCTGCTCCTCTACGTTATCCTGCGGACAAACAAGGCAGAGCCCTCCCAGGGTGAGGGGTCTGGGGCCAGAGGGGGAGCGCTGCGGGGGTGCAGGCTTGAGGTCAGAGCAGACTTGGATGGGACAGACCAGATGGGCTGTCCAGGGGCTGCAGGACCCAGCAGGACACTGTTCATCTGTCCTTACTTGAGGTGTCATTCTTCTCCCACGTCACTCCTTCCCTTGATGTGACACACAGGAGGGTGGACCCCTGTCCTGCGCTCGCATGCCCCAATGGACTATGCTGAGCTTGGGTTGGGAGGGTTGAAGCTGGAGGACCTCTGTCGTCATTCCTCTATGTGCCACAGGAGAGGCTGAGGGTCAGGAGAGAAATCAGGAGCCTGCTGGGGAGTGGGGAGATGCTGTTGTGCATGTGGACGGAGGGTGGAGCGCAGGCCACCGAGGAGGTGCTTTGGTGCCCGTCCTGGGGTGGGGAGCAAGTGTCACTGCAATGAAACGGGGAGCCCAACCATGCGCTGGTTGGGTGGAGCCAGCACTCATCTCCTGCCCGTGTGGGCTGGGGGCTTCCCTGGCTGGGAGACGGGCTCTGCAGAGCTGCTCGGTCCCGTTGCTTCTTCCCCACCTCCTGGGCAAGGCCAGGCACCAGCCTCCTCCTCGGGGAGGGCAGAACGCCGCGGGAGAGAGACAGGTGCTGAGGCTCTGACCCTCCGCAGCAGCTGCTTTGCAAGCTGGTGGGAAGCTCATTTTAGCAATGCCGGGCAGGGGGAGGTTTGAGCCAGGCTGGGTCCCCCTCAATCTGCCCTCAGCATCTCCACCACTGTGTCTGCAGGACTGGGGATCTGCACTGCGTTCCTGTGTGTGACCTGGTCTCTACTGGACTACCACCAGTCCCTGCGCTCCTTCTTGCAGGACAAGTACGGGCTGAGCCTGGGCTCCTCCATCGTCTACTTCCTGTGGAACCTCTTCCTCATCTGCCCCCGCATCCTCGCGGTCGCCCTCTTTGCCCTGCTCTGGCCCTATGGCGTGGCTGTCCACTTCCCGCTCGTGTGGCTGGCAATGTTCGTCTGGGTCAGCCTGCAGGGCACAGACTTCATGGAGTCGCCTGGCCCCGAGCAGCTCTACCGGGCCATGGTGGCCGTGATCCTCTACTTCAGCTGGTTCAATGTGGCTCAGGGGAGGACGCTGTACCGCAGCATCATCTATCACGGCTTCATCCTGGTGGACAGCACGCTGCTGGCCCTCTCCTGGCTCTGGTGCCGGTCCCCCTCTGACGAGCACTCGTACCTCGTCCCGGTGGTCTCCGCCACCCTGCCCTGCTATCTGCTGGGGCTGGCGCTGAGAGTCATGTACTACCAGTGGCTGCACCCCAATGTGCAGGCGCAGCAAGAACGTGGCTATGACGAGGTGGATGCCAACGCGAGGAGCGATGGGCTGGCATTTCGCTCGCTCTCGGTGCCAGACCTTGTGAACAGGCGGATGCAGTGGCTGGCCCAGACCCAGTTTCCCATCTCCCGGCCAGCAGGGCAGCGCTTCCTGAATGGGGATGCTGCTGTTGAGTCTGCTGTCTGAGGCCGGCTCCTCCAAAGTGACTTGCCAGGGAGATGATAGATTTGTTAGTCCTGCTCCTGGTTGTGTCCCCCCAGGCTGTTGTTTTGGGCAGCTGGAGGGACCAGGCAGAAACCAGGGGTGATGTGCAAGCACCCGGCAAGTCCCGCAACACACAGCACAGCTCCCATGGCTGTGCCCTCGGGGAGAACCGCGGTGTTTGTGGGGGGTCCAGCGTGTTGTGGCTGCACTGTCGTGTCAGCTTCTCTCGTTATTTATTATTAGCTTTTTCAAAAAAAAAAAAAAAAAGAGCAATGGTTTGTTCTGTCTGTCTGTGCCTCTCCTGTGCCTGCTGCCGCCGTTGCTGCTTGGGGAGGTGGGTGCTGGTGGGGGAGAGCTTGTTCCCTCCTTGGCAGCAGCTATCTGATCTATCTGTTTCCAGCCAGGCTTTTCCTCCTTCTGTTTTGCTGCTAAGGTCAAAGATCGCCCGTTATCGCTGTGTTCAGGGTGGGATGGGGAAGGAGGCAGGGAGTCCCCTGTGCTGGGAGAGCGGCCGCCCCTGGCAGGCAGGGGCAGCGGGGTGCCTGCACCCTGGGGAGGGTCTTGTGGGATGGTGTAGGGTCAGGGCATGTGGGGGCTGTGACCCTGCCTTGTGGCAGTGCTTTTCCCCTTCAGAAATGGGGAAGCACGTTCCAATGTGGATTCTCCATGGACAGAAACGTTGCTTCTGCCATTTGCTGGGTCCCTTCCTGCCTTTCCCTTCCTGCTGCGGGCTGAGAGAGGGGCAGAGCTGAAGCTTCATGCTTGAAGCTGGGCTCTGGGGCCTGGGCTGGTCAGGTCACCCCTTTGCTGCTGCCCCAGACTGTCACGTTTCTTCTTCGAGCAGCAAATGCTGTTTGTGGGGTGGGGGGCTGGCAGGGTGCAGCAGCGCCATGGGACCCCGTCCTCCTGGGGGGGCAGTTGCTGTGTCCTGGTGTATGGCTGCAGCATGGCTCAGTGCTTCTGGCTTATTATGGACACCTCATGGTCCCTTTGCTGGCATTCCCACCACCACACCCCGGGCGGTGCTCCTGACGCCATGACCGGGCTGGAGTTGGCCACGACTGGTTTCTCAGCCATAGGTGGCCGTTGATGAGGTCAGTGTGGGGCTGTGCTGGCTCCTGGGCACTGACACCCACTGCTTCCTAGGCGGAGCTGCCCCCCGGCTTGGTGCCAAGATCCGAGCAGGCCCCAAAATGGCCCCTGGCTTTTTTCCATTGCCCAGCCAGCAGCCGTGGCAGATCCTGGCTGCCCACAGCGTTGGCCCTTGGCCTCTTCTCCTCGCCTCCGTCACCTACCCTCCCGGCAGGACCCTGTCCCAGGAGGGGACCTCCCCACACAAGGGCAGGGGGAGGCAGCAGGATGCAGCTGGAGGAGTAGCTGAAATGCTCGTTTCACAGCTGTTCCTATAACAAGATAAGCCTGTGGCCAAGGACAGTGGCACTGGAGCAGAGGTGGGGAGGAGGGTTGTTTGTTGGCCTTGTACAAAAGAAAAAGGGAAGGGAAGGTTTGTGCGGGACTATCCAAGCACCGTGTGCCTCCCCTGGGCACCACAGCAGAGGCAGGGAGTCGGAACCTCCACCGCTGGCTCCCGCAGGACACCCCAGAGGAGCGGGGTCTCTGGCAGCTGCTTGTGCCAGCGGCTGTGCTGCGACCTGCAGCACCATCACTGTGAATGCCGTCGGTGCCACTGAGCCCAGCCCAGGCCATCGCAGGGGACAGGGACTGACTGCAGGGGTGTCAGAGAATAGGCTGAAGCAGTGACTATAGAAAATAAAGACTTTATTTTTTTTTTTTCCAGTTCATAGGACAGTTCCCATTACACAGACCACGAACAGGTAAAGGCTCTGCAGCCAGCAGCACGCGGGGCTCACCCCTCTCCCGCTGCCGAGGGATTGGTAGCGTAGCAAGGGCTGCTGCAGGCTCCGGGGCGTCCTGCTGCTTTCCATGAGCGCCAGCACAGACATCTCCCCCAGGGCTCTTGGAGGCAGCAAATATTAGTGGATCAGGTGGGGTTTTTTTAAAGCCTCCACGGCTGCGGTGAAGCTAGAGGGGAGGCCGGTAGCACCTAGGCAGGCTCGGCGTCAGTGCCCCGGGCCAGCAGGCTGGCATTCATTCAGGCATTCGGGTTTGTCATCAGTTCAGCTACAGCCGGGTTGGGGGTAACGGGAGAGCACAGAGACAGAAAAAAAAAAATCAATGCTTGGATAGAGGTGCTGTTCCTGCCACATGAGAGACAGGAAAAGTCTTAAATTCATCCAACAGAGGAAAAAATAAAATAGCCAAGTCAACCTTTATTAAACATAAACACAGAAATGTACCATCAACCTCCTATTATAAAAGTACTTTACATACATTCAAGGAAACATCGTATAAATATCAGTATGAACCGTCACTGGCTGCGAGAGTTCCACACTCAGCTAAAATTTTGCCGACATCTTAAAATTTCCTTAAAACATTTTAAAGTAAACAAACACAAAGCAAAGCCAGCCAGCTGCCAGGCTGCTCGGTACCTTGGGTCCAGCACTTGCTGGGAGTGCCTGGGCAAAACACATCCCACCTCCCAGCGTGGGCCAGCACAGCTCTCCTGCGAGCTGCTTTGGACGTTAGTGAAGCAGAGGGGCTGCTCAGCCACGCCGGATGGTGGGAGGTTAAGGCACAGGTTTTAATCCCAAAGCTCAGCCAGCCAGAGTACAAGACGTGCTCCGAACAGGCTGTTTCACAGGCTGGGACATCTCCCAGGCCCGCTTACAGGAGACCTTTGGATGGGCTGGGGACCCGCAGAGAGATGTTCAGGATCCAGCACAGAATCTTCTGTGACTGCGAATAAGTCCTGATCTTCTGGTAACATTTCAGACCCTGGGAGCAATGGGGCTGGTTCTGGGCACGGCTCACTTCCTACCAGATCTGCTCTGGCTGATGCAGTAACAACACAGGGACCCCAGATGAACTGGACCCTTTATGGACCCCGCAGTAATGGAGCTGTAGCCCTGTGGCATCTCTCCCTGATCTGCACGGGCCCCCGCTGCTGTGAAACACCAGCACACATCTACACGGGCTGCCCCAGCTGCGTGGGAACACCTGGTAACACACCTGAGCTCACCATCTTGTGTACACGGCAGATGGGAGAACATCCACCATGGGCTCCTGCTCCTGCTTCTCTTCAACCTCTGCTGCTGAGCACTACCCAGCACGTCCCCAGCTTGCTCCAGGGGCTCTGCTGGGCCAGCAGCTGTGAGCAGAGCAGCAGCTGTCAGTGCAGCCAGAAGACATCCCCTCCACTGAGCTGTTCAGGAACACCCACAGCAGAAATTGGCTCCTCAGATTTTTCTAATGGGGCGAGAGGCCATGGTGCTCACAGACAGCAGCTTCTACACAGATGGCATGCTCCTGAAGCAGAGAGTTCCTGGGGAAATATGACCCGGAGCATCCGCCTGAGATCAGAGCACAAGGCCAACAACTAGCAAGGAGCTGGATGGAAAGCAGACTGCTCCCAACTCCTGTGACAACCTTGGAGAAAGAGAATCTCCTCTGATTTTAAGTTTTTTTTTAAAAAAGCAAAACTGGAGCTAGGAACATGTGAAACAGAGACCTCTGTGTCCAGTCCCTTAGCTCTGGGGACCCAAACCCCTTGCTCTACGCACCTTCTCCGTGGTGGTGACCGGAGCTGGCCTAGGAACAGACACTCCTGGGGCAGAGCAGAGCATGTGCTGAGCTGGCCCAGCAACTCCCCCAGCACTGATGGAAATCATTCCTCATTAATTAATGCCATGAAAGGACTGCAGCAAACACATCACCTGCTCCTGTGGGCACAGCCTGAGTGGGTCAGTGTCCTCCCTGAAGTGACATGCTTTCAGACCAGCCCCCCACGGGTCCCAGACGGGTGATGCTGGGCTGGAGACCAGAGATCTGGAGGGGTTTGGGTGCAGCTGTGGTGTTTGGCTCAGCAGGAGCAGCAGAGGCGTGCGATGGGGCACAGCAGACATCTGTCCTCTCTGCAGAAACCCCAGGCACCTGCTGATTTGGTGCCATCGGGGTACAGGGAGGAGGCAGATACCACTGAACACAGGCTGACTTGGCACAAAACCAGCGCCCTGTGCCAGCCCCCAGTCTCCAGCTGGCTATTTCTGGCTAGTGGTACTGCAGGTCACTGACTCCAGCCTTTTTTTCTGGGATGGTAGCAGAAAAATCAGCGTAACCATCACTCCCAAGGCCAGCGTGCTCCAGGCTGCCAAGTCACAGTGTCTTAGAAAATTAAGTCCCTCTTAACAAGGGTTTTGTTTCTAACGATGTAGTTAGGCTAATGCAAAGAAGAATACAAGAAAATTGAATCTGATTCTACTAAAAGGAACTTACTTTCACAAATGGAGTCAGGAAAGCAGAGGTGAAGGTTAATAACCATACCCTTCTTTGTAACATTCATGAGGATTTAGTTCTCTCAAATTATTCCTAGTCCAGACGAGGACTCTGTTCACATCTGAGCAGTCTGCAATAGTGTTGTGCTGTATCTACTGTTCATAGGCAGTTCTGTTTTCCTTTACAGGGAAATCTGTGGGATCTATGGTGTGGGTCATGGATAGCTGGAATCCAATGATCTCCTGCTTGTTAAGAGGGCTTGTGCGCACATTGACTAGAAGCCACCGGGATCAACTCAGAACACCAACACCTCTACAAGGAACCACGTACCCCAGAAACATTCCCCTATCTTTCTATTTTCCAGTAATCCCATGTTGAGGAAATAACATAAGGACATTGTAATAAATTAACTGCTTTGAACACCCAGGGAAGGAGAGAGGACACATTTCACAGCAATAGAGGTATTTTTGACATTTTCATTAATATTTCCCGTGGAAAAAAAACATAGCTCTTTTCGGCTTTGCGAAACAAGGGAGGTTCAGCTCTGCCATCAGTATTTTTCTATAAAAATAAGGTTTTGTGTTTACTTGGGTTCTACAACTAAGCTGAATCGAAAGGAGAAGGCTCTTACAAATACTTCTGCTGTTGTATCACCCTCTCCCTCTGGAGACTACCTGCTAGAGGAATTCAGCTGGCTTCTGTAAGTCTCTTCTTCAGACAAGCTCTAGCTCTGCTGAGTCTAGTGCTTCTTTATATGACACCTTTGTACTTGGCAGGGCCTGTACTCCTGAGGAAATAACCTGGTGTCATGTTTTACTGTACAGTTTGCATTAGGTATGTTTTCTTCATCAAGCTGAAAAGTGGGTTCCCAAATGTATGAGATTTCTTCCTCCCCAGCGATGGAGAGAGCTTGCAGGAGCTGCAGTCACGCCTTTGCTCCAACTTCTTACAGGAAGTCTAACTCGAGGGCTTGGTGAAGGGACACGAGATCTGCATGATTTGTGATCCTCCAGAAAGGCATGTTGTGCTGTAACAGAGAGATGACAAAGTCAGGTTTATCGGAATGATTTTACAGCTAGGTGAAAGCGGCCAAGGTACACCTGTAGGGTTGTGCAATACGGCGTTTGTGACAGCACTGTCTGAGCATACCATGTTCAGGAAGGACCTCAGCCATATGCACATGGGTACCTGAAACCTCTCTTATCTGCACATCTGTTTATGATGGGCACCAGCACTGACTATCAGCTGCTTTGCATGCTCGTGCTGGAAACCTCAGCGCTCGGCTGTGAGCTGCTACTTCACCCAGGAAAGCCTTTCCAGGGCTCCCAGGGAACCTGCATAGATGACAACTCTGGCACATGGCAGACAACATGAAGCACGCAGAGACGATGTCCTGACAGTAATCTATGCACTTCACTGCCCTTCATTAGCATGACTGAATGACCTGGTCAGTCCAAATCAATCAAACTGTTTGCTCCTTGTTTGTAATTCAGACTAATGGTAGATGCTATGTATTGATCTGACTGCGGGCAACCGAGTCCTGACTCCCTCCGTGCTTCCGAGAAATTGCATTATTCTAACTGATAGCTGCAGGCTACGATCAAGACATGCTACATCAAGATACTGTTTTACAGGGACAATGTTATACACAATCCTAAACAAGAGTAAAACAGAAACTTTAAACCCCGAAGAGCCAGAAAACTCCCCATCTTAATGTAGTGAAAGATCTCTTGCATCAAAGGCAAAGTTTCCTCCTGGCTACCCCTGGCCTGAAGAGTTCAGCCCTGGAAAGAGAGTCCCTGCATAAAAAGACTGCTGCAGTAACTTCCCTTTGCATCTACCCACATCCCACCTCTGCAGAGCTAGAAACCCACCTGCTTAGCCGCAACCTCTTCATCACGCCCATCTCCAATTACCACATAGGTGACTTTCTTTCCAAATCGTGACACAATCCTCTCAAAACAGCTCTCTTTACCTGCCAAAAGACAACCCCACTATAATGAGCCTTAGGCAGAGAGTAACAGAAGCCTGAACAGGTCCCTTCTTCCCAGTACAGAAACACGTTCTTGTCTTACTGGGAAGGGGTTAACACCCAGTTCAGCTTGTGAGGCCAGGAGCCACCACTATTACATGGCCAGCTGGACCACAGCAGCCATGGGGGCTGCTCAGCTGCAGAAATTGTATTTTCTGTGTAAAAATCCCAGCTAACCCGCAGCAGATGCCTCAGTGCCAGGTACTCAGCACAACCCCTTACCTATTTTTGTAGCACTATAAATATTTTCGATGGGAAACACCTCGCCCAATCCATACAGGAGAACTTTGGCAAGAGCTGGCACCAGTTGGGTTGTTGTGATCAGGATGTTCACACAGTTTTTTCTAAAAGAAAAAAAAACACTTGTAAAAGCACATCTGTGGCCAGTGGCGCCGAGGGCTACTCTGGGCAGCTTGCTTGGCTTTCCAAAGTGCCACGTGCTTTGTCGTCCTGCTTTCAAGAGGCTTTTTAGGCCAAGATTTTGATGTGTGGTTTTTGCTTGTTTGTTTTTTGTTTTAAACAGAAATTCTCTCACAGAAATGCAATTTTGTGAGCACAGCCCTATTAAGGGGACCTTCTTAACACCAGATGTTGCAGCAGAAAAATCCCCAAGGGTGCTCAGGAGTGGAGTTCCTGTACTCACTCACTTTGCTTCCCAGTACCTGTGACAAGCAGCAGTAGTATTACATATGGACACTGCTGCAACAAACCACTGCATGCAAATCTAAGTGAGAGAAAGGGCTGAGAAAGCAACATACACATTTCCAGTTTCCATACCTGGACTGTATGAGTAGCAGGGACTTTAATGCAGTTTCCAGCCAGGAATCCGTTAGCACTTCTATATCGGTCCTTAGTCGCTGCAGAGCTTCCCTCTTCTGTGGGCTAAGGAGGCCTGCAAGGCAAGCAACACAAGTTTTCCCAGCTGAGCTGGCAAGTCTAACATAGAGAGAGACATCACTCAATTTAACAGCTGTTCTGCAATAAATAACACGGTACTGTGATGTGATGCACGGTACAGCATCTGAAAGCTGAGACTGTCTCAAGGCAACGGGAGAAACCAGCTTCCAGCGACACGGATGAGCCCAGACACCCATCTGTGACTCTGACTGTGGGGAATTGGGCAGATACTTTTCTCTGATTATTTCAAGACATTTCTCAGGATACGTGCAACAAAATGCATTTCTCTTGTACAAAGCACTCTCAGCAATAGGTGTTGTCCGAGGCCACAGACGGCAGGGGAAGGAACTCCTGCCCTCTCTGACTTCCTACTTCCCAAGGACCCTTTCCACTTTATTCCTTTTAGATATCTTTTTTAATCCCCCCTTTTTTTTTTTAATCCCCATATTTTTTATCCCTTTTAGATATCATTTTCTCAAAGCATCCAGTTTTGAATTAAAAGCAGACAGAAATGGAGCCCATACACTCAAACCTGCTCCCGTCAGTAAATACAAGAAGAAAGGAGCACCTTGAGTCTGAACCTCTCTCCACCCTATTTCCAGCCATGACGTACAAACCCCCCACCTCACTCCAGCCCTGAAGTACACCAGTCCTCTGACAATGAGGCCACGGAGGGACTCATTGTGGGCTGCGCTGCCAACTGCTTTACCATGTGGCTTTAGACAGGTCCTGAAAAACTTTGCACCCAGGTTTCCCACGTGCAAAATATGGAATAATGGTCTGATCCCTACCAGAAATAAGGTAATTGCTTCATACTGAAATGCAGACCTACACTGATAATTTTTAAGGCTGAAAGTTACAGTTTTGGACACCTGGTTTTTAGATAATATGTCCAAGAAAACGTTCTATCAAGTTTTTTTTGTGCAGGCAAAGGGTATCCAAACCCACAATCCACGAGGCCAAGTCACCCTGCCAGGTGAGCTGCTCCAGCAGCACCCTTTTCCCAGGGATGTCAATGCCAAGATTCAGACTAAACAGAAAATTTATCTACGTTTGATATCTGTGCTTTGCATCATTATTACTACTTTGGCATTGGAAGGGAAGCAAAACTAGATGTTTTTAAGTGACTTTGTGAACAGATGGTAGAGATGTCATGTCAGACTATGAGCACAACAGCCAAAAGTGTGAACGCGGTATTTCTTGACAATGGCATGATGAAAGACAGATTTTGTGAAGACACGAGTGGAAAGACCTCCTAAGCAGGTAAGTCATTTAGGTCCGCTCTAAGCAGAGTGACAGGCAGCCTTTCATACAAAATTAGCAAAGGGACACTGTTTGCACCAAAATTTTCTCTTAGATACAGGATTGACTGACCACCCCTATCTACATGATAACTCTCAGACTGCACTGGCATGCCATTCAGTTTTGGAAGATGTACCCTCTTAGATTCCACAGAGATTTGATCTCATTTAGCATTAGGAGAATGGTTACTTTTCATGTCCAAACATTCAGGAAAGCAAAAGCTCTGAGGAAGGACGGAGTCTGGCACCACAAACTGTTTAGTGCTCAGATATTGGTGCAGGTGAACACTCACCTCCAACGTTAGTTTTGTATTTGTCGTAGATCTCTCGTACCCTGCGGTAGCGGAAGGCCAGTTTTCTCATCCAGTCCACTCCACCCTGGACACCAACCGATGAGCTGTGATTTGCATTACTTCCTGAGCCACTGAAGCCATCCGTGGAGAAATTGTAGTTGCTATTTCAGAAAAGCAGATCTGTTACGTGTGCCACAGCAGCAGAATCACTGCAGCTTTTCTGGCGGGGTTGCAGACTTCAGCTCTGACAGCAGCTAGAAAAGCACCTCGGAGAGGAACTCTGCACAACCACCACTGCACCCCGACAGCAGAGGCCGACTTCTATTGGCAACATACTCTGATATCCAACTACATTTGCTGCCGGTTCTGAACTGCTGTACTGAAATGTACTGATTCAACTCTTCTTTCACACCCTCCACTACAAAACCTTCCTTTGCTCTTTGACTGCTCACTCCTCTGTGATACAGAGCATCCTTCCCACTAACCCCGTTCTCATCATGCAGTGATGAACCCCAGCATAGTATTTTCCAAACATTAACATCCGTGTCTTTACATCACAGCTGCAGCTCCACAAGCAGATGAGCTGCTTTACCAGCTCATGACTGCAGGAAGCAGGTCCTGCTTCACCACTTCCCCGTATTTCTTTCTCCCTGACAGACAGGCACTTCTCAGACCTTTCCATGAGCCAGTTCAGCTCTTTAATGCAAGAGAAAACTTACCATCACCCCGCCTGATAGTGTACAAAATCAGCTCACAGAGGGATGCAAACCATAGGGAGACTTTCAAAGGTCAAGATCATGAAGTTTGGAGCATTGGTTCTCCATTCATGACATGTCATTGAGCACACAGGCAACATTCAACAGTGGACAATATAATTCACATTATAATTCCGAAAGTCTTAATGTTTTGTAGATCTTCAAGGAAATACCACCCAGCAAACAAACACCGTTTGCCAGGTTTCATCCCCTGCACAATGCTGACCTCCATCCCTTAACCCCATTTGGGTTTGAAGTCCCCACAAAAAACAGATTACATCAGCTACACATTTCATGCATTCATCAGTACACCACCTTAAATCTTGGCCATTGTCATCAGATGCCACATCTTCTATGTGTACCTGGTCACACTCCTGTTTAAGAAAAAAATAAAAATAAAGTCACACTGTTGTAATCCAGAAATATACTGAAATTTGCAGATTAAAGAAAGTGTGATATAAAACAAAACCCTCACATTTCCCAACAGCAGTAAGCCATGCCATACTGCCTCCACAAACCTATACATAGCTTCCATTAGCTTTGTCTTCCAGTACTAGGTTTTACTTCTTGGCACCTACAGGTCCTTGCCAAGACTGTGATTTGAAGTACCAGAAGTGTCTGAAAAAAGCATGTTTCTATGACATTTCGAGTTGTCTGCAAAAAAGGAACTTCGACATCACTAAATAGGTTGGACTCAAAGCTCACTTGTCATTTGAAACCCTTCTGCCATTTCACAAGAACAAACCAAACAAACCCAAAAATACCCCAAGACCGCATTATCTGGTCAAGTATTGATATTCCATTTCATCAACACAACGGTCAATTCCGTTACCGGAGAGCCACAGCACGAACCCTGGAGTGAAACATCAGCATGGTGGCACTGCCAAGACTCTGGTGCTTAGCACAGCTGATTTAACCCAGAGATAAACTGCAAACACCTTAGGACAAGAAGTGAATTTTCCACATTTCAAGAATTTCCCACTGCTGCTACTAACCAACACCTACAGCTATAAGTGTTGTTGTTGATCACATAGTTAACATATCAGTGACTACCTTTCCAGCACAAGAGACTGTATTTGGTGTTGTGTTTTGAGGTTTTTTTCTGGGGCAGGGAGGTAACTGTCATTACCACCTTTGCGAAGTTCACAGTTGCAAGTAGTCGCAGCCACAAATGGAAACTTCATTTAAGTTTCTATTTGCATCAACAAAACCATCTTGTTTTCCCACGATGTATATCAGTGGTGCACCTACAATTAGTGTTCACTGTTCACATTCAGCCTTCCTAAGCTTTAAACTAGTCCCATAAATTCTGCAAATTAGGTTCATGAGTCCATATTCGTGGACTCATATCAAAGATGACATGAGTCAGAAAGTTTGCTATTTCCAACCATTTAATTCCAGATTCTGGCATAACTTCACACCTTCCTGTATAGATCGCGTTACTGTGTCCATTACAATCTGATAATATACCATAGCACAGCAGAGGGCATTGCCATGATTAAAGCAAAGATTTATATTCAACTCCTGTTGAAGTGGTGCAGAACAGCGAGATTTATTTAATTTGGCAAAGAATACTGTGCATGAAAGAGGATGGGAGCTGATCAGAAGTCCTTGAGGCAGGATGGGAACGGGAGAGCAGCAGAGATAGCTTGCAGGAAAGAAAAATGGAGGGTGCTGTGGGACCTCCAGGTGTACAGCATGCTTGTCTACGGAAGCGTATCCTTCATAGCTGTTACACAGCCAATGTAACCTACTGAGATACTGGCCGAGATGCACAAGTTGTATTCTGCCCTTGGCTTAGTCAAAGCCCCTGAGAACTGCCATTCTCAAGGTCACCTTTTTCCCCCACATCTCTGGTCTCCATTTCAAAACAGGATCAGTGAAAGCAAAGTGCTTACCAGTCCATAATGAAAATATAAGACAAAGCAGACATCACTCTCTTTATACAGGTTCAAGCAGAAACCCATGAGAGAGCTAAGAGAGCTCATGACACTGGAAGTCTGCAGAATGCCTGTCTCAGATAAAAGAGTACACCTCTTTGATTTGGTTGTGCTTAGAACCACTTCAGTTTTGGCAGACTGCTATGTTTCAGCATTACATAGCTCTAAAGCACAATAGCCCTCACAAACGGTGCAGTGTAATTCTAACTAGGTAACGTGGAGCTTTGCCTTTCAAAAACATTTGCCATGTACCTCCAAGTCATTGAAAAACAAGTGAGTATCAGCTACTTCAAAAATCATCTCCTCCATTGACAGACCTGAGCCAATCACTAGAGTTGGATCCTGGCAAAACAAGAAGAGAAAATGTAAATTCACTGTGGTTACAGGCAGAAGTAAATTGTGATAAATATTTAATCAGTTACATTGCACAGAGTTTCTACTGTATATCAAGCCTGATGTAATTCCACCTGCATTCAGTGGTGTGAACTACAATTTCCCTAGTATTTTAAACAACTCAATAAAAAAAAAAAATCCACATTCTGATAATACAGCGACCCAAAATTTAACAAAACACTTCAGTACTGCATAGCAGGGACTGATGCACTTTTAGAAGCAACACAAACAAAACATTCAAAAATCTTCAATATATTTTGAAGGAGAAAAAGTACTTCTTTTCACTATGTGCTATGACCTCAATAATTCCCAATTATGGTAAAAACAGTTTGACATTTTAAGACTTGTATTATTAGAAGGGAAATGTTTGTGGTGTCCATATCCTAGCTCTGTATAAAGCCAAATTTAGTGTTCTTTCCCTGCCTCAAACTGCCAACAAGTTAAAAGTATTACCTTATATATTTAAAACAAAATATTATTTTCTATTCCTTTTCCAAAGATTAACATTTACTTCTGCATAACATATATGGTTTTTCTTCCACAGAAAAGACAACATTACCTTGCCATATTTTTGAGCATAAGACCCTGTGAGAAGTGAATGGAAGATTATGATGGTCTCATCCAGGTCCCAGAGAAACACTCGCTGTGTAGAGAATAAAAGCAGGTTAGAGTTGAGATATTCCAAGCACTGAGCTACAATAAAGGAGCAAGTTTTAGCGTTAATTTTGTGGCTAGTTGCAGTATGCTTTTAACAGGTATGAACAACAGTATTCATCTTACAGGCTGGACACATTATCAATTAAACTCTTTCAGTTTAGTGCGGTGAAGTTTATATACCACTACACTGCAACTAGATGCTCAGAGTAAGGCTCTCTTGGTCAAAGTATTTCAAAAGCTTCTCTTGCTTTTACAGTTATAAAAGCAAAAACGTAGAGTGCTAATGAACTTTAGAGCCCTACTAGGGTAGAAGTTTACTGTCTGTGATCTGGAGAGCACCAGGTAAATGACCTTGGTGTTTATCAGAGACACCTTTGTTATGATAAATAAGGGGGATTGGCTGCCACGAGGAATAGCAGAGTTTCAGTACAGAAGGACTTTGATAAACTTGAGAACTGGGCCAACAGGAACTAGAAGAAGTTCAGTAACTGCAGATTCTGCATGTGGGGTAGAATAACCCCTCGTATTGGTCCAGGCTGGAAGGAGCTGGAGGGTACAGTGGACACCAGGTGCAGTTATGAGCCAGCAGCGCTCTCTCCCTGTGGATAAGATGAACTGCCTGCTGGAGAATACTAAGTGTGCCTAGCTGACAGAAGGAAAGTGCTGTCTCACCTTACTTGGCACTGGGAAAGTAACCCCAGATTGCATCCCCAGTTCCAGGGGTATGTGAGGAAACTAGAGAGCGGCAGGCAAAAGGCTGTCAAGATGGTCAGCAGCCTAAAGGAGAGGCTGAGGGAGATGTGATGGTTTATCTTGACAAAGAGGAGACTGAGGGTGATCTAGTAGCAGACCACAACTAATTGAAAAGGAACTGCAAATATGATGGAGGCTAATTCTTCTCAGTAGTGGCAGGCAGAAAATTGCCATGGAAAAAGAAGGGGAAATTTGCAGCTTGGGAGATTCCAGTTGGAGATAGACAACCTTCTTCCCCAGGTGGACGTGGTACAGATCACTAGACAGGTATAGGATCCCTAACCTTGGAGGTTCTCAAGACTCAGCTAGAGTGAGACATGGTTCTAGTGCTGGAGACAGCCCTTCTCTGAGCAGGAGGCTGTATTACAGACACCCAGATGTCTCCTCCATTGACACCACTATGATTCCAAGACACGTTTAAGTGATGCTTGTCAAGGACCACTGAAGAACTCATTTGGGCCAGTTCTCAGATAACATGGGTCATGGGAATTTCCCAAATTATCTCTCAGTACAGGAAAGACATGGATCTCTTGGAGCTGGTCCAGAGGAGGGCCACAAAAACGATCAGAGGGATGGAACACTTCTCCTGTGAGGAAAGGCTGAGAGAGTTGGGGTTGTTCAGGCTGGAGAAGAGAAGGCTCCGGGGAGACCTTATTGCGGCCTTTCGATACTTAAAGGGGGCTTATAAGAAAGATGGAGACAGACTTTTTAGTAGGCCCTGTAGCAATAGGACAAGGGGGAATGGTTTTAAACTAAAAGACGGTAGATTCAGACTAGATGTAAGGAAGAAATTTTTTACGATGAGGGTGGTGAAACACTAGCACAGGTTGCCCAGAGAGGTGGTGGATGCCCCATCCCTGGAAACATTCAAGGTCAAGTTGGACGGGGCTCTGAGCAACCTGATCTGTTGAAGATGTCCCTGCCCACAGCAGGGGGGTTGGACTAGATGATCCATTTCAACCCAAACGATTCTATGACTCTAATGATCCCCTTCCATTCCCATGGAGATAGGACAAAAGAAAGAGAGGAGGACTACACACTAGGTGGACTACACCACCACACTATTCTGCAATGCTACCTGTAGAAAACAAGATTACTACTTACCTCCAGTTCACTGTCCTGTGAGGAGGAGGTATCTGCTTTCCTCTTCCCCCTGTTCTTCCCAGGGATATTTTTTCTTGCCTGCTCATCTAACTCTTTACTCGCTGTTGCTCTTGATAATGAAGGACTTGTGGATGCATCTCCTAGAAGAATGAAATCACACAGCTCTCACCCCTCTCATGTCTCAAAACGAACACCAACATAAAGCTTATAGCATTTGGCCACAAACCTCCTTTGCAAAAGGTAAGATGTTATCTTGCTTTATTGATACAGTAGTAGTTGAACCCTTATTAGAACATAAAACATGATTTCTTTGTCCCATCATTTCAAAACAGCTCTGTCTCCTCAATTCAGTCCACCAGGACTGAGCTACCGCAACTACAAAGCCAAAGACAGAGCACCTTCCATCCTAAGGCCTGTAACCCCTCAGATGTCTCACTACCCTGGAACTGCTTTATTACTCAATTGTTTCTTTTAATACTTCTTGAGAGATCACCAGAAACCCTTAGTCTGGAATAAGTGTACAAAGGAAAGTATTTCACGATGCCTCTCCCTCCCAGAAAGGAAAGTATTTCACGATGCCTCTCCCTCCCAGACTTCCTGGACTAGTCAAATGCCTTTTGTGTCAAGCAACACTATACAACACATGCTGTTTCCACCTCCGCATACACTACTCACTCCTGTGCCACTGTAAGCCTTTGACTAACAGTTAAACAATAGTCAGTACACAGAGTTATCTGGAGTGTGTTAATCACACACAAATCCACAGTGTGCTAACTGTAAAACAGACATACTTAGACTACAGCTCCATTGGCCTATCCAAGGATTAGTAAAGAATAACAGGGATGATCTCGGCCCTGGAGACACAGACTTGGCCAAGCACCATGGCCATGACTGACAGGGATACATTATGGAGCCTATTCTGCTACTGGTAAGAACACCCCTCCCAGGGAAAGAGTAAAGCACCAGCACAAAAAATATTAAAAAAAAATCAATGCTTTGATGTGCAGAATATTACAACCATGATGGGAGATACTCTCTGAATCCTTTATTAACAGTTCAGGCAGAAGAGTTAACATCCCCGATGTCTGCCTACCTAGTTCAGAAATAGGACCAGAACTGTAGCGGGAAGGCAGAGAGCACAGGGGACTTGAAAGAGCTTGAATTCAGTCTGGGTTTTGAGGACGAGACATTGCAATTCCTATGAAAATTCATGCAAAATGGTGAACTCGGAGAATTCCTGAGCTAAGAAAATGGCACTGAAAACATTAAGAACCGGGCCATTCCCTGGCCAGTGCCTTGAAATAACAGGTCAATTCCTTAGGATTTCAACATCAAATAGGAATGAATTCTCATGGGTAAATCTGCTGCTGCTCACCCCAACTAGAGGGCAACTGCTTCCTGAAAGAGGGAAAGTGCTTGAAGCACCATGCTTCTTGATTTACAACATCACAGCGTGGTATGTGTCATCCCCTGTCTGTAGCATCCCATAAGGTAAAGGTGGAACTTCACTGAGTTCAAGACTATCAATTTGTATGCTTTGCTCACTGGCAGCCACCCATCCCCGCTTTCAGGTTGCTTGAATGAGTTTGAGGACTTGGCAGAGCTCAGGTACTGATGGACTTGGGGAAGATGGAGAAGGCAAAGTGCTGCAAAGGCAGTCACTCACCACCTCCCACAAGCAGGCTGATGCCCAGCCAATCTCCAAGCAAGAGCCACCTTGAAGCTAACCCCCCCCCCTTCTTCCTCTACTTCAGTTTTTATTGCTGAACATGACATTATATGGTATGGGATATCCCTTTGGTCAGCTCAGGTCAGCTGTCCCAGCTGTGTCACCTTCCAGGTTCTTGTCCACCCCAAGCCTGCTTGCTGGGGGGTGTGTGGAGGGGAGAAAGCCTTGACACTGTACAGGCATTGTTCAGCAGTAGTCAAAACACTGGTGTGTTATCAACACTGCTTTAGCCACAAATCCAAAACACAGCACCAGCCGAGCTGCTATGAAGAAAGTTAGCTCCATCCTGGCCAGACCGAGGGCACCAACAAAAATGAATGGAATCTGTATTTTTTTTCCAGCCTACCAATCTGCAACAGGCAGCAGATTTCAATTTAAAACTGTTTGACAACACAGGAAGAATCTCATAACTCTTTGCGTAAGACACAAGAAGAAGCACTAAGTCTTTGCTCTTGTCCTTGTTAAGCTCAGGAAACTGTTTTTGGTGAGGAAATTTTAGTCAACACCACACGGTTGGTACATGACACAGCATTAGTGGAAAAGGCCAGCAAAAGATGTGATTTCTCTAGAATAGTCAACTGAACCTTTTCAATCCACTTCCTACATCTCTTACCAGCTAAAATCTTCTCCCCCTGACAAGTGCCAGGTAACTTAATGCTACGCAGATGCAGATCTGCTCACATACAAAGCACAGCAGAACAGCTGTCATTTCAAAAATGGTTTACATGATGAAGCAGAAGAAAGGAAAATATGTACTTCTGGGAACATCAGAGACCAACTCATCGAGAGGTGACAGCTGAACTACAGCTCTTGAAAATGCATGAGCAGTCCCAGAGGACTCCCATAACTGGGACTGGCAGCTATGTCGTGGCTGTCAGGTAATCTGAATACCTGGCTGCGGGAGGGAAAGAGCTAGCATGAGCTATTGAGACTGGCCATCATCAACTGCCCTGTAGCCCAAGTGAACACCCAGCCCTGACACATGACAGAATCAATGATCCCCAAGGAGCTGCTGTTGGCAACTCTTCAAGTCACCCCTGGAATTCCCTCTCCCTACGGCATTCAGAGCATGTGGTAGGTGTTTCCTGAATCTCAGCAGTATAAGACTTCCAATACGTAAGTTTGGCTGGCCCACCATAATACTCTGCACACCAGTGAGACCAGTCTGACAATGAAAGGCAAATGTCCTGTCCAGGCCAGCACACAAAGGTGCTGCAATTACCTTTTGGAAAAAAGTTTTCCCCCTGTCTGCACACTGTACTGTTTATCACAGGCATTTTGCAGCCACCCTGTTAAAGATCCAACCATTACCGGAGGAATGTCTCTGCACCGGCCGCGTAGCCACCATGGCGTTTGGTTTTTCGGTTGGATACGTAGTTGTTGCTAATGCAGTACTCTCCGTGTTGCTGTCTGCTGGTGTTACAACTCCAAAGCCAGAACTCGGGTAACACGTCTGGTACTGACTTTGGCCAAGGATCGTGTACGTAGGATATTCCTGTTAGAAGAAAGGATGGAGGAATGTCTCTGCACCGGCCGCGTAGCCACCATGGCGTTTGGTTTTTCGGTTGGATACGTAGTTGTTGCTAATGCAGTACTCTCCGTGTTGCTGTCTGCTGGTGTTACAACTCCAAAGCCAGAACTCGGGTAACACGTCTGGTACTGACTTTGGCCAAGGATCGTGTACGTAGGATATTCCTGTTAGAAGAAAGGATCGGTTATGATAGGACCTTCTTTCAGAAGGTGCTGCAATTACCTTTTGGAAAAAAGTTTTCCCCCTGTCTGCACACTGTACTGTTTATCACAGGCATTTTGCAGCCACCCTGTTAAAGATCCAACCATTACCGGAGGAATGTCTCTGCACCGGCCGCGTAGCCACCATGGCGTTTGGTTTTTCGGTTGGATACGTAGTTGTTGCTAATGCAGTACTCTCCGTGTTGCTGTCTGCTGGTGTTACAACTCCAAAGCCAGAACTCGGGTAACACGTCTGGTACTGACTTTGGCCAAGGATCGTGTACGTAGGATATTCCTGTTAGAAGAAAGGATCGGTTATGATAGGACACTTCTTTCAGAAACACTCTATATTAAGATGACTTTTACGCTAGAATATGCCTGTCAAAGAGAAATCCCAGCTAGAGCACAGTCTGACTTTATGCTATTTCTTTCTGCATATGTAAGACATCCCAAAAAAGGGTTGAGAGATCTGACTTCCCAACGGCCCCCGCACAGGCAGGTTCTGCAGACAGGAGGCCAGCAATCACAGGGCCACTCCTCTGCCTCCAGTTTCTTCAAAAATTAATTAATTATGCATGATGTGACAGTAACAGGGGAGTATCGAGTGGATGCCACGGCATCAGTCAACACTGTCTGTATTCTGGAATTTGTGGTTTTGTCTTGCGTTTTGCCTTCTGATACCAGATGTACTGACAGCGACAGAAAGTGGTCTTGGCACTGGCTGAGGCTGCAATCCTGGCCACAGCTACAGGATAAACTGCCTTTACTCATGTCCTGACTTCAGCAAGCAATTATTTTGCATGCAGTGATGAAAGGTATCCATTTATGAAGACTATTTACTCATTTAGGAGGAGATCACTGAGCACCTGAAGCTGTGCTTGAGGATTTTAATTTCTGCTACTGATAGTAAAGAAAGCAGCCACCCCAAAAGTCGCGTCACACTCTTCAGGCACACTGTGCACTCCCGATTCCCTCAAAGAGCAACCTGGATTTGTGAACCAGGTACCTTGGTCTGCACTACTGAAAGAAAGTATTTTTTTCCCCTTACAACTCCAAGCAAGTTTATGTTAACGAAAGAACCTTAAAAAGCAACAGCATAAGCATACAAGGATTTTTGTGCATCCATTGCATTTTCCACACTTCCTATATTCTCTTTCTGCAAAGTTGTGACATTGAAGGGTTCCTTTGTATATCTAAATATTCAGAATGGCAGTTAACCGCTGACGGTGCTATGTACTACCCAGAGCAGGTCACAGTCAGGGGGAAGGGCTCTGTGCTACTTGCAGGGCTTTCTGACTTTGTTTTATTCTAGCACCATCAGAATGCATCTCCTACTTCACTGGGTTTTTTTGTTTGTTTTGTTTGTGTACAACTTATTTTCCTTTTCTTGCTGAGGAAGAACAAAGGCATTCAAAAAACATCCACCTATAATCCTCCCTGTAGGTTTGGTTCTCAAAATAGTTCTATTGTTTCTTCTCTACTGTCTCTCTTGCAGAGATCTCAGTACCCTGTTTAAGATTCACCACACAATCTGCAGATAAGGAAACAGCTTTGAACAGATGAAGTGAGTTTGTGGCGAAGGCCAAAGGGAAAAGCGTCATGGTCAAAGAGACAGCAAGAGTAATTTTGCTGACTCTGAGTTACATACTGAGCCCTATAATGCTAGTACCCATTGTGCTCCATTTGCAGTGATGCAAATATTTGGCCTTCCTTTGTTAAGTTTTGAGTAACATGTTAAACAAAGGTGAAGGAGATGCTGCACATAAATAGAACAAGGAAGAAGTTTTACCTGTGAGATGCTGGCTACTGCTGATGTGGAAATATTGACAACAGTTGAGGATGTAGAGACTGGACTGGCATTGGTAGTTGATGCTGTAAAATTAAGAATTACTGCATTAAATGCTTCTAGAAAAGCACAAGACACAGGAACAATCCAAGTTGCGAAATAAGTACTTACTAGCCTTATGTGCAAGTCTTTGTGCTTCCAGAGGCACTCTGCTTGTAACAGCCAAAAAAGAGTTGGGGTGTATTTTGAAACCAGTTACATTTCAACTGGGCTTACAGGGAAGGAGACCTAGCATATCTTTAAAAACAGTACTTTCAAATGTTTCAGAAACCTTTTCCCTCCATGCCTGCTAAGCAACTGGAGTATAATTAAAATGGTTTCACATCTTTACTAAAAGTTTTGAGAAGACAACAATTACATTCCAACGTTCAGTTACTAGCAGTTGAAAATTAATCAGAATAAATCAATAAAATGGATATAAATGTGTTTAAATCAGTTCTAATAAAAAATTCTCTCTGCATTGGACTTAGCATATTTAGTCTAATTAGATCAAAAAAATTAAGGAAATACTAAAATACTTCAGATAGTATAAAAAGGGTGCTTCCTACTGGAGAAAGTGAACGTATCTCCCCATATCCCTGTGAGACTACAACTGGTTTTTGGATGAGACTTTCTGAAATAATTTGTCAACAGCTTGTAAGACAAATTATTAGAGACATGTAGTTGTTAGTATGAATTTTAAGATGTTTAATAGCCTTCATGTCACTGCATTCAGTTCTTCCAAAACACAGAAGAGGCTGCTAGAGTACCTTCTGGGAACACCAGTCATTTAGCAGATTTTGTGGTTTTCCAGCCACAAGACCACTCCATTAAACATTACTCCACACGGGGTTTTGGGACCCTCAAGGATTAGTGAAAACAAATAATGAAATCAGCATGAACAAAATCAGGATGTGCTAAACCAGGTGCCACCAAAAAATATTTTCTTTTGCTAAACCTTCTTTCTCTGCACACAAAAACGCCCAAAAATCACTTTTAGATGCTTATGAAAAGACTTGCAGAAATCCACAGTATCAACTACTTTACCATCACTCTGAGAAAAGCCCTCACTTTCTGTAAATAACACCCCTGCAGAATTCACCCCAAGACTGAAGAACTCAAGCTTCTGAAGGCTTCAGTCTTTCTACCCCAGAGAAACAGACCCCACCATGAACTCTTAATCGGTGTACGTTGTGTTATGGCAAGCACATATACTACCTGGTGAACAGCTCCTGGAAAGAGGAATGGATCCAAAATATGCCTCAAAAAAGATGAAAAACAAAAGAAATATATCTTAAAAGAGGTGCAGAAATACACAGTATTTACAAGAGGTGAGAAATGTGAAGGGTGGCATCTCTGCAGAAGCAGAAACGAAGGTAAGTAATTAGCCCCTGGGAATCCCCTCACAGATAGGAGCAGCAGTGTTCAAAAAAAGATGGGAGAGAATTTTGCGGGGAGACATTTAGAAAAAGGAAAAAAGGCTGCACTGAACAGCAATAATGGTAATGAAGATACTCAAGTACCTACAGTAGCTATGCAGCTACTAGAAGCACAGCTGTGAGAGTAAGGTACCCGTCACAGATACTCCTCACAAGCAACTGCTAGAGAACAGGGGTTAGTTTCCAAATAAAACTCTTTCCAACTATACATGTTACGGAAACGATGAAGGCTGTTATTACCTCAAGAAAATGTCACTTCCTAGGGCACTGCGAAGAGCAGCTCTCCAGAAGAGATCCTCGCTAACACGGAACAAACCTGCCATGAAGCCAGAGGAGATGAACTATCTAGAAGACAGATTATTCTACCACCTCTCTCAAGATTATCACGGAGCGCAAACAGAAAGCGATTCTCATCTGTAGTGCTCTGAAGAAGATGCTTCTCCACCGACATAGATAACAGAAGTTAAGAAATCATAGAAAAAAGATTCCAAGTGCTGAGATTCTTGTAAAAACACAGATTTCCTCATATGAACTTCATTGTTTATCTTAACTCTGGTCTCCTTCCAACTTTTATTTTTTAATTACCCTTTATCTATACAGTGTTACGCATCAGATCTTCACAAACAGCTCCCACTACATAGATTAACCAATTCTTTCTGCACCGTGGGTCAGTTCCGTTTACCTGTGAATGGGCCAAAAACATGCAAAAATGTTTGGCATGGATGTGCCAAAAGGAACCACTTCATGGTCTCAGGTTTAAAAGACCAGCAAACACAAGTACTGCCTTGAAGCTGTCGTGACTCTTTTTCTCTTCTCCTCTTTCTCCCTCACTTCCAGACCTCAACCTCAGACCTTATATCCCTACCTCCCCTGCCTTATTCATCCCATTCAGTTTTGCTTCAGTCATTTTCAAAGATGTTTCAACCTGCTTCATGTGCTGGGAAGGGAAATTGCAATTAATGCATTTTACGTTTCACTTGGCTGCTTTGCTCTCACAGGGAAGGAAGAGGTGAGGCAAGAAGCAGCCATTCCTCCCACGTTGCTCCCAGTGCTTCCAAGCGCCTCTGCAACACACCACCATGGCCATCGCTCAGGTGAGTATGAAAAGCAAAATTCTTAGTGACTAAGTGCATCTGACCATTTACCAGGGTTCAAACATCACAATACTTCAGTCCAGCATCTGCAGACTAAACCATATCCACGCACTGAAATACACCTCTGGTGGGACAGCAGCATCATACAACTGTGTATCACCCTACTATTTTGATTGGAGAGAACAGATAGATTTTCAAGAGGTTACCAATAAAGCAACTTTGCCCATCCTTCCAGCTCCTGCTCCACCACCTCCTGTGCACCAGCCCAAGTACTGAGCTGATCCCTCAGCGGGCTGCTTGCTAACTTGATGAAAAGGAAACATAGAAAATCCAAAAAAGGAAGAGTTTCCTGCCAGTTTGCAAGAAGTTTTTCAGAAAAGTGATAGCATTTACACAATTCAGGTGACTTTTTCACACTTTCAAAGAGCAGCCTGAAGGGAAACTCTCCTCAAATCACACGTTCTCACAGCAGCGTGGATCAAATGTTTTAAAATCCTTCTGCGGAGCGAGGCCTGATGGCGGCTCCATCACCTCACCGATCCCCAGGGATTCACATGCTCGCTGTGGTACATCACTGGCAAACCTGCCAGGGGTCATGTTATACAGAACCATTTCTGACCCTTGGCAATTAAAGCTGGTGCTATAAAACATTATAATTCATTCTGCTGGTGGGAGTACCTGGAGGAGAGTTTATGTTTGAAGGAAGGCAGTATTTCCAGTGTTGTATTGCTCATGTTATGAATGTGAAAAGTAAATTAAGGATAAACATTACGCTGGGCCATTTACTGTCACAATGACACAAGCTGAGCAAGTACCATGACACACCGCATGGCCTTCCTATCAGTGAAAGATATGCTAAAACCCACTTATTGCTCATTTTAAGAATTATTCCCCTTTACCTGGCACTCATTAGACCACATCTGGATACGGCATTCATTTTGGGACCTCAAGCACACGAAACATGTTCATAAAACTCAGTGAGTCTGGCAAAGAGCCACCAAAACAGTCAGGGAGCTGGAGCATGTGCCCTGTGAGGGGCAGCTGGGGGGAGTGGGACTGTCCAGCCTGGAGAAGAGATGGCTTTGGGGGCCCTGACAGAAGCCGGCTGGTACCTGCATGGACGTTATCAAGAAGACAGAGCCAGGCTCTTTTTGCAGGTGCACAGCAGGAGAAGAAGAGAAACGGTCACAATGTGGAAGAGGGGATGCTCTGAGTGACAAAAGAAAAAAAGGTTCATCATGATGGCAGCCAGGCACTGGATTTGGCAAGATCTCCATCCTCAGAGGTTTTTGAGACCCAACTAGATAAAGCCCTGAGCAACCTAGTTCTGAATTCAGTGTCAGCTCTTCTTTGAGCAGGAGGCTGAACTAAAGATCTCCTGAAATCCCTGAATTACTCTATGAAAATATCACACAAGAAATAGATTAAGAATTCCTGAAATGCTTTTTAAAAACTAGAGAGAAAGAGACAAATTTTCACAATTCACCACTCAAACATAAATGGCAAAAATCCTGCCTAGTAAAAAATTTGCACATATTTGCCATACACAGCAATATTCCATTATTCAGCTAACTGGCACATTTACTCCAAATAATTGCTTTGGAAGCTGGTGAAATTCAGCACCTGGCTTCTTAGATGTGGTACTTCCAGTAATTGGAAGATTTGTAGGCTAGTTCTATACTGAGAAATTCACTTTCTAGCAGATCTACCAAGCTGGGGTGTGTGTGTGGGGGTGTGTGTGGGGGGGTGTAATATATAAGAGCCATCTACCTCCAGAATTACACAAATTTAAAAAAAAAAAAAAAAAAAATCCAATGTCAGTCAGCGTATTTCCTGACATTAAGCTAAAGACCACCAACAAAGAGCTTGAGCTGCAAGAGCATTCCCAGTAAAGGCATGCAAGAATACAACATTTAGTCTCCTCTCCCCTTCCCATTTGCTCTTCACCCTGTTAAGTCCATCAGCATGGCACCAACAAGCCAGCCTGGTGCATACAGAGGTATGTAGCAAATACAAAACCAAACACAAACACACGCACAAAGAGAAAAGAGACAAAGCATAAAGAAGCATGCACAAACCAAGAACAAACGTGCAAGCCTCTCTATTTGTGGTATCTGGACTCAATTAGGTGGAGAGAGATGCAGATAAAAACCATGCCAAGTTACCTTCAATGGAATAAGAATAATGTGCTGGGCTGGGCTGGCTTGTGGTTAACCCTGTAGTGCAGGTAAGAACACTGTGCTGACTTGTAGATGGAGTCTGAATTAAACCACTTTCAGGTTTCATACCTGGCCACAGTGCACCTGAATCAGATAAATTGGACCAGTTACAAACAAATATGCTGGGACCAAACAGCATGCTGCTACCTCAGATTAAGATTTCTGCTTGTCACAAAAGCAAGTAACAAATCACACATGGAAAATGTTTAATTTCTGCAATAGTAAGTGCTGACTGCCAGGTTGTGCATGGATTAGAGCTGCTGACAAAACTGGCTGAAAAAGAGAAAATTAAAAGCACCAACAAGACCAATTTCCAAAGCTTTCAACTACAAATCTGTTAGTGTCACAGTAAGATTCACTGCCACATCGGTGTAAAGGAACTGCTAATCCCTCTGATGCTTGGGCTAAGTGGCACAGCACTGCAAATGACCTCAGCTATTACATAGCGAGGCTGAAGTTGGTATGTATTAAGGTCAAGGTCAACGCTTCCACTACTTCACTGGGCTTTGGGTTGAATATTTTAAAACAAGCCACAAGTCAGTAATTTTCATAGACTGACAGCAGCGAACATAGAGCTCAAAAAAAAAGGGGAAAAAAATCTAAATGTTTCTTCTGGATTTCCTGCCATTCTGGAAAGCATTTGTAACACTAGGCAAAGCACAGAGACAGCAAAGTGACTGTAATTCATCTGCACAAGGCACACATAAGCAGTGTGGTTTCAGCTCAGGTGCCGTGTTAAGGTCTAGTCTACTGCACTGACAGTGGTGAAAACAGCATCCGACTGAAGTAGCTCAGCTCAGGCCTGGTTCTTCAGGGCTCTTTGGGCTTTTGTTTAAGTGTTTCCAGACCTACAGCCAAAGTCAAAGGCATTTCTTGCTGGCCCTGGTTAGAAACCAGGAACTGGTTGAGAGGACCTACTTAAAAACAAGCAGGAGTGTGCAAAGCAGAGGGACAAAGGATGTTTGGAGCTAGACACAAAGTTCAGGGCCAGGAGAAAGACCATCCTCCTTCTTAAACCCCCCCAAAACAGTACCAAGGCTGCAAAAGCCACCTGCAGCCTTTCACCTGCTCTAGCAGGATGAGCCACGGGCTACAAGCTCCAAGTCTCTTACCCAGAAGACACGGGAGAGTCTATACAGCTGGACAAGAGCAGCAACTCCAAGAGCTCGCTCCATGCTGCAGCTTTGTCAGAATTAAATTCTGCAATAGCTCTTTGTCAGAATTAAATTCTGCAACGGCTCTTTGATTTGTTTACATACCTGATCTCAAACTGTCACCTATGAGTCAAATTAAGTCATTCACCTGTCTGTACAGCCACACCAGGGTTTTGATTCTTCCACTCTCAAGTTGCGTCTTTGTTACTGTTTCAAACCTCGAGAACCATGATAATTAGCAAACAAAAGGGAAAGACTGATTTAGGAAAGACTGTAGTTATATTGCAGAAACTCCAGAATAAAACGTATGGGAAACAGATACTCTAAGGAGAGTGGGAGTAGCTGTATTTGTTTAGTCTGGAAAGGGAGTGCCACAACCTTCAAATAGGTGAGTAGTTTTTAGAGGGGACAGTAACCAACAGTTCCTTACAGTGCAAGATAGATGGACAAGGAGCAGACAGCAACATAATGAGATGGTCACAGGACACACAGAAGTGCCTAATAACCGTGACAATGAAACAAAAACCAATTCTGAATGCTGTAGGGTAATTATCACATGAGGAGTGTAACACCAGGTCAGACACAGACATCAGAGGTGTTCGCAGAGTTGGCTGGATGCGAGTGCAGGAGCTGACTCCGGTCGTGTGTCAAGGCATCTTTCAGCCTCTGCTTTCCATGACTGTCTCTTTGTCATCTCCCAGTATAGACATGTTTGACTTGCCATACAGCAAGGCACACTCTTGGCCTGGTGGCACACGTCCCTTCCCTCTTGCTCTGCAAGGCAGCATTTATAAGCTAGCACAGCCTTGAGGATGACAGAGAGGAAGCCAGGCGAAGGGGAACGAGACCCCTCCACGTCCATCAGCAGCACCGCAGCTGGGGCAGAAGAACGTCACAGGACACGTCTAAGTACGTGGAAAGGCCCCACACAGGACAGTCCATCACTTGTAGGTTTTTCTTGAGTTAATGTAAACCATCACATCCACGGTGTTTCTAACACCAACTTAAAGCCACACATATGCAGCTTGTATGTCACTACTCTTATTTTAATGCTTCTTTAATAAAGTCCCTCCAGACCACAAGTATGTCCCATGTAGAACAATGCACTAAACACCATCAAAAAAGTATTACAGCACAAGGGGAGGTGACAAGCTGGCAAGAGCATAGGTCATCTCTTCTCTGAAAGCAGCATCCTGACCTGAGTGATCTCAAGACTACACTTGTGTTTGTCAGTTTACTTGAATTTCATACTTAAAATATATCTGCTTTGTTCCAGTTAGATAATCCATGATGCCTTCTTTTTGGCATAGAAACAAATACACAGTAGAAAGTCATGCAAACCTCTGGAACAGGCCCTTTGATGCTGGTAAAACATCTGACCAAGCTGGCCAAGTCCTCACCTGCTCAACGGAGATTTTGTGAGCAGAAACAATTTGTAGAATTTCGTCTGCACTGTGCATGTGCAGTCCTCTACCCTCCACCTGTCCATCATACCACGCAAGGTCAGTATGATCAAGCAGGTGCCACTCCAGTATGATTTCCATTACTGGAAATATGACTTTTAACATCTTCCTGACACTTAAATTCAGACTAAAAATTCAGGTATTTAATAATAGACCTCAAAATCCATACCAAGACATTTCAGTAACTGATCCCAAAAGCTCCTATGAAGTTAACAGAAAATGCTGATCTCTTGCCTACGTCTTTAGAATAATTTCTACTGTTACATTCAGAGTGTTAACACTGAAGCAGCTAACTACCCCCAAATTCCAGAGCCTTTGGATTAATAAAAACCAAATGTACACCCCCCCCCCAAATACAGCCACCACCACTACCACCACCAAAACATCACACACACAAAACACTACCAAAAACCCCTACATCCTCCCTCCCCCAAAAAAATTTAGAGATAAGTCTAAAACACCTTTTTAAACATCTTGGCCTAACACTTCAAGGGAGCATTCCACATACTTACACTTATTTGCCTTTAAAAAAAAACCCACAACACAGTAAAATACCTAAGAACATACAAAGCAGTATGTTTACCGTTCACAACAAACCATCAATACACACCAAATAAATGAAGTAAAGAAAACCACCAGCCACTGTTCAGATATAGCAAAAACCAGTGCAACAAGGCACTGAAACCAAAGTGCAGGCACCCAGGGAAGAGAAGTATGTTCCAGCAACCCTAACGTGGGGTTGGGCACGGTTTGTAGGTAACAGACTGTCGTGACAACACGCAACACTACAACCAGACAAAAAGACAAGGAGCAGAGTGTTTAGAAAGATAGCAGACAAACTGCACTGGCAACTGATGACTTGGGTATGGACACAGCATCAGACTTCTCCACACTGGTTCAGCTTTCCAGGGAAAAGCTCTCCTGGAGGAATGAAGGGAGCTCAGAAAACACAACAGGCAGAGACCTTCGACTCCCCAGGACACGTAACACAGAGTCAACTAGGTCCTCGCTCACTAGAAATCCTGAGAGCACCGTCATGCCAGGTGGTGGGGAGGGTTGGTTGTTTTTAAAAATCTCTGAAACGACGGTCATACTTGAACCTTACTGGCAGGGGCTGAGCGAGAAATGCAGAAGCAGCAAATACCAACAGCCACCCAAATGACCCTATTGTCCTGAAAAGCCTTGAGTTGCTAATAAAACAGCCCTGAGTTGCTAATAAAACAGCCCAACATGGACACCCTGCAAAGCTCCCACTTTATGGTATTCAAGTGATCAGTCAGAACAATGTATCTTAGCATTAAATACAGGGCAAATGAGATTTGGGAGATACTGTTTGATCAAACCCTTGCGTCCCAATTACTACAAAACCATCATTTTCTTCCTAAGGATCCCTCAACCACAAGAAAATTCCTTTTCATGAATCCCAGGTGTATATATATGAAAAAGAAAAGAAAGGTATGTAGATACGTTTTACATATTGACCTTTCTCATAAAGATAACAATTTGTGCCATATTACTTTAAACAATTAGTAATGTAACTTATGTCTAATAAAACTGAGCCTAGTTGTATCATCTTTTCTACACCACCTTTCAAAAATACCACGACAAATCAATTGTTTTGTAATTTATATAAAAGTCCTTGCTCTGTCAGCAGCTAACAAAAGCCATAAATGTTGCTGGTTTTATTCAAAGACATCTAGTTCTTCAGCTAAGGAGAAATTCATGCTTTTACACTTGAAGATATTAAGGTTTTAGCACTACAGATAAATCTGCAAGAGGGTCTGTTCACTTAGTTATGCAGCATGACCACAAGCCCCTGAGACAGACGCTTCATGGCTATCTCACAGCTGCACAGCTCACTGACAGCACACGTGGTGCTCCCCCAGGTGACCTGCATGGAAGGGTGATGCCCTCCCCTCTCATTAGAGCTAGGTGCTAAGGGGCAAAACAGCCTCCGCCACCATACACTACTGAAAGCTGGCAACAATATATAATATTTACATATGAAACCAAGCAGGGCAACATAAAAAATGAAAAGAGAAGTTAAAATGTTAATTTTTAATAATCAGTCATAAAATTTCATACATGCAGGGGACAGTCAATTGTGTGTTTTTTTCCCCAGTGCCTGACACTTTAATATACAGAGTACAAGGAAAGACCAGGCAGCTCCTTTCACTAGCTAACCCACCCAGACGTTAGATGTTTCTGTCTGCACTACTCATCCTCAACTCCTTTTATACATCATGGAGAAAGATGACCATTATCTTCTAAAACAGCCCAACACCCCAGAGGTGCATCTCTCCCTCCATGCACTATAGAAGCAGCACAGGGTGAATAGCTCAAACCCTGTCATCGAGCTTTAGCTGCTCAGTTATGACAGGACTCTTATCCTTCAATCATTTGCAAAAACTGGAATGGCTAATAGAGGGCTCAAGTATTAGAGCAACTTAAGCAAGCTTATTTGCCTAGTAAACTTGGAGACATTTTAGCATGAAATCTACATTTGGTGTAAGACAATATAACAAAAATGTCTTAATCCTGGCCAGCAAAAAGGAAAGGAAAAATACCTTCAGCAGAGATGCTGTAGTAGGGGTTCTTGTCTGATTTCACTGACAAGGAAACTGCACAAACACAGCTATACCACAACTGGAGAAAATTATGATCCCAAACTAATAACCATCTGGCAAGCTTCATGGGGAGACATCCAAATTAATGGCCAGGAAAACAGCTTTGTAAGAAATAATATTTTATAATATGAAGTCCCATCAGTACTGCAGATACCGATCTACAATTTAAGTTAGGCATGTGCTCTCCTACAAACTCTTCTCTCCAACACATCTGGTTAAGCTTAACATTGGCTTTTTAATGAGACATAAGACAATAATTGCAGGCACTGAGAAGTCTTTGAAAAGTTACTTCTTACCGAAAGGAGGTAGTCCGTAGGTTTGGGTGGTCTGGGGGTAGATGGTGTAGGGCTGAGACTGCTGTAGTGCTTGGTACTGAGTCTGACCAGGGTAAGGGCTCATTGTTTCCGATACAGGTACAGAAAGGATATGTGCATATGGCCTTATTAAAAAGAACAAACAAAAGCAAAAAAGAACTATTTACATTATGCATCTTTCAGCCTCCAATCCAGAAGACACATAAAAAAATTGCTTTAGGAAGAAGAAACAAAACACATTGACACGTGCTCTTAGTGTAATACCCACTTGTGTTTCCCAATATGACAGGCTCTTGGTTTTATATACGCTGCCTGTTTCTTGCAGTGACTCTCTCCTCCATGGTGCCAGAGCACCAGTGCTTATTCCAGGACTGAGATGGCAGGGTGAGTGGGGAAGAACAAACTCCCCGTTCCAACAGGCACGAGCAATTAGTTTCACTTATCATACCTCACAACACCAAAACCTAAAGCTAATACAGTATAGTAGTACGTGTCAAAACTACTGGAACACACAAAGAAACTACACAAAAGCAGGCATGGGGGATTATAAGGTCTACTATGCTGCAATGGGAAGAACTATTAAGATCCCCAAACGTCGTAAATGACCAGAAAATCCTATATTCCCCTTATATTCATTTATGTCCAGTTTGTTTATTCCTCAAATATTATGGGCATTATTCAACAAGACTATTGTGTTGTTAATTACTTGAAGCAGCTCATTTATCCTTGTGATCATAAGAAAACAGCCACTGAAGCCAAAGGGTGACTTCTATCAGCTTCAGTGTCCACAGCAATGAGTATCTGTTGCCAGAAGATATGAAAGTGTGATTTACAGCATTACAGAAATGCATAAAGATGCAAAGGTATCTTCAGAAAGAAGTAAGAGCTACAGAATTTAGTAACAATTGTTCGACTTACTTTGCAGAATACATTTGTGAGGTATAATCATTTGATGACCTTGGGATATAATCAGTGCATGTCATAACTGGAAAAAAAATGGTTTGTATAATTACACAGGCGATTTCAAAACCCAACAAATAATGACAATTAAATATCAGCATGCACAGTATAGTTTAACCAAGACATAGGATTTACAAAGGTTTTTTAGTGCCTTGAGTATCGGTTTCAAAGCAAATTCTCAAAACGTGCACTGTTAAAACAGCACAAAAAATGGTTTTCTTGCCAGTTCACAGCAGGTAGATGATTCAGTCAATACTACTTCTCCTTTTGTAACGGTGCTCTTTCTCTTTACCAGCTGGTACCGTCATCTTTTGCAATTCTCATGATAAAACTTTGATTTCAGCCCTGCCCAAAATCTTGCATATGCCAAAGGGTCTTCATCTGCGCCAAGCTTAACATTTCTTTTCTGTGTCCTGGAGCAGAGACCAAAGCAGATGCTTGTTTTGCCAAGCTTTCCTCTTCCCCTTCCCTTTTCTACATACTCTACCCAGAGCACAGCTCCAGGAATCTGTCTTTCCTTTAAAAAGGAGAGACTCCAGGTCAACAAACTTAATCCCACACATCAAGTGACAACTGCGGAGTTGCAGTGCACAAGGGTCAGAGTCCAAATTCAGATGACTTCTAAAGAAATTTGGCAGTTACATTTAACAGGATGTTTTCATTTTTCTGCTTGAATAAATCCGCAGCAATTGCACTCTAAAACTGGTAAGAAAGAGTCACTCAGGCCGCAAATCCAAGGAGGAAATGTTCAAAATCTTCTCACTTAGCACTGCCTATGGCTCTAGTATACCCCATATGTGACAGTTCTTAAATACAGCATTCTGGGTTGGGGTGGAGAATGAGGCTTGAGCTGGTATGTCTTAACCCAAGAGCCATTAAAAAAACCCCTTGGATTCAGATGAGCCGACCTGATAAATACTCAGCTGTCCATCAAACTAGGAAAGCAAGGATGTGCTGGATCCCTGGCACAGAATTGGCACTGTACAGCCCCTCTGGCACATGCCACCCCCGTAGTACAGTATGCTGCAGTCATCTCCAAGCTAGATGACTTTTGTGACTGTAAATCTGCACAGTACCTGGGTTTACCAGTTCAGATCTACAAGCACCATACCCAAATTCTTAGCAAACACAGCTGTGCAGCTGTGGATCCAGCTTATTCATCTGAAGCCAGTTTGGAAGCAGGCAAAGCACCCAGGTTCCAGCCTTGCCTAGGAGGGGATCCAGGCTAACAGTGTATCTCCTGTATGGGTGCAGGGGCCTGGATCCGCCATCACTAGCATGGCAGACGACTGCACTTTCCCTCTGCCTTCTGGAGTGAGACTCAAGTAACAGCCTTCAAAAAGAAATATGGTCACGGACGGCAGCATACTTTGCCTTGGGATTTGCTCCAGATGCCGGTGATGTGCTCCAACAAGTCGGGCTTTCCCTATCTGGAACAGTCCTACAACATTATTGCTCTTACATCATCATATAGTTAATTCTCTTATCAGTTGCATCCACTAAGGGGAGCAAGCTAGTTTGCACAGGCAACTCTAACTGTAACATTTGCATTCTGCTACCTAAATAACCTCCTCTTAATGTAATCTGAGCATAAGTGGCTGAGAAATACAAAGCATCAGCCACACCTCTGAACCTTCTGAATGCTCCATGAATCACCTCCTTCTGGTCCTCAGTGTTTGCCTTCACTCATGGTGTGAAGCCATGTAGCATAAGGATGCAACAGGAAACGCAAACTGGGAACTTTTGGACCTAAAGGTTTTCATTGAACACTTGTCAGATATTCTCACATCCCTCATGCAAAAATGTCTTTTTTTTTTTCATTTAAAGAATGTCAATATTCATCTGAATAGTAATGTAGTAATGGTATTTCTAGAATTCTTATTTTTAAAATAGCATATAAAGAATCAGGTAATGGTGTAAAAAAGAAAAAAAACCCACAATACTACTGCATGCAACTTCTGGAATTTGTAAATGACTTATCCAGTTAGGCAGCAGATTTTGCAGCCAAAAACCTCTGGTAACTCCTGCAACTGCAACATCACAGCACATTGATTAAAATAGTAAAGATGCAATCAGTTAGCAATGGAAAGTTACAAGTTACATATTTTCAATCAAGTTGAGCTGATTTACACTCATGCGTAAGTATGGGCAGTCAAAGGTATTCTGCACAGGAATCCTACTTTCGTAATAACCTCCAGCCCTCTTTTTCCAGAAGAAAGGATACATTCCACCTCTCACTTACTATGCAATCTTTTTATTTTCTGCCTCAGTTTCCCCTCCATCTATTTCATACGGAATTTCTGCAGACATTCAATTCAGAGTCTAAGATTAAGTGTACAGCATATTATTACAAAAGACCCAACCAGCTGTGTAGAGATAATGACTTATAAAAATAACATCTTTTACAATAGGCATTATTGATCAACTCAATCCCTTCCCTCAAGAAAAATCATGTATAAGGCGGATAAGACATAGCAGTACCCAGCAGCAAGTTGGGGGGCAGTGACACAAAAATATTTGTTAGAAAGAGATATTTGCTTACCATCCGGCATTAACGCTTTGTAAGCACCACAGCAAACTTTCACTTTACAACTGATAGTGAGGACAGGCTAAGGATTACAAGGAGGAGACAAAGCTTGTGCTTGACGAAGCAAAGTAATGAGACCAGTGGAAGAAAAGAGGAAAGACAATGGGAGCAGAACTCCAGAAGATACTTACTCTCACTGGACATGGGAAGGTTTGAAGCAAGGCTTGAAGATTCAGGTTTCTGATCGCTGACTTCTGCGTTGCTCACATGACTGCCAGGACAAACAAAGGTTAATCATTAGCATTATGAACTCTTAAATTAACATCCTTGGGCATCATAACCCCTGGATTCAACCTTCCTAACCAAGGCAAACTGACTCTTAACAGAAACTAGCTCTGCACTCTTTGATATTTCACACAGAGATCCCAAGAGAGAGATCTGCAGCTCTAATTAGACATTAAACTGTCATCACCTCCAGCACATTTACTCACCAACTGGTCTCTCAAGATAAGGCTGTAGCTCCACTGACAGCTCAGCAGACCTAGCTGCCTGAAGCAGAAAGTATGAACTTCTTTCCTGCCGCCTGGGCACGGCCTCCTGCCCCCTGCATCAGCTCAGGCACCCATCAGGCTCTCCATGAGAGTTTAATTTGCTCATCCAGCACAAAAACTGTGCAGTTATTTTTGCTGGGATACTGAATAGACTGAGCTCATGGAGGGATCCAGCAAGCACCATGCTTGGTGCACACCTGAGCTACAAGCAGAACTCCCCCTCTCAGCAGCAATAAGCAGTTATACTGGCTCCTTCACCTTCTACTATGGCAGCCTGAGAATATCAGAATAACACACAGATGCCTCTAAAGCCAAGAAGGCAATCATAAAAGGAAAAAGCAGTTTCATTAAGAAATTATCTGTACTTCCTACTCTACACATGAACAAAGCAAACGTTGACATGTAACTGAAACGGTGCATGAGAAATCCAAAATAATCTAGTAATCTGCGAACATTTCTTAAGTACAGAAGTGACACCCAGTTCAAGGATGCTTCAACACTGGTCTTCAGGGACAAACCCAGCAGTGAGGCAACCTCCCGTGGACACAGGAGTCTGTGACAGCAGGGCCACAACATACCACTCACGTGGCATTTACTTGGCTCCTGCAGGCTGGGGGGAAGGAGAAGCCAAGGAATGTGTGATATCAACCAGCAGTGCCCTGGTAGCTCCATCCACCCCTGGACTGCTTCTTCTGGCTGTGACAGAGCTCCTTGCTCCAGGATGGGTTGGAGATAATCCCTTGGGACAGGAGGTACAGCTTTCCTGGGACAGGGTAAGGGGGGAGTTGGCTAGTGAGTGCCATGGGTTTGGTTATAAGGCAAGTGAGTTTCCTTCCTTTGGCTGGTGAGAGGGAGTGTAGCTTAACCAAAATGCATAATCTGGCTTTTTCCCCCTGAAAACCTTTATGAGCAAAATCCTTGGAAATCTTTCTCAATATTAGTAGCTGAACAGACTTCCATAATAAAGCATGAGTTTTGCAAGAAAATAACATATTTCTACACAGACTCAGGGTATTTCTCTACTATGACTCTTGGTGGAAAAAAATGCTGTGATTCTGGGGCACAGTCAATGTGCAGCTGTTAAATGGCATGCAGTTTGCAAGCAGGTTGAGAGCTGCTCGTTGTGATCCCTTGCTGTGGAAAATGTAATAGATAAAATAACGTTTCTGACCATACTATACCAGCCCATGTTTCTGCTCTCTTTCTCACCGCTGCTCCTCAACACACGCACTTGTGGCTCTTGGGACACATCCATCCCAAGTGCTCTTGTTCTCCATCACTTACAACTTTTCAATTCTCACGAACTCACAGAAAAATTCTTACTTGCACCGTGGCTGCCTTGCACCACCGAGAGCGTCCCACAGACCAGCCTGACTAGCAGAGCACGCTGTATTCACAAAAGTGTTAAGACTCTTACAGATGCTTAATGCTCCCAAGAGAGATCACCCCCACTGGGTACAGTTCTTCCCTTCCCCACTTCCACAATCCAGCTAAGACAAATACAGCCAGAGTATTGACATCAGCTGAAAATCATGTTGCTGAGGAGAAACGGGCCTAATAAATTATTTTAAAATATTCCGTAGGTCAAACTTAAAATCAGATATAGTTTTATCAAAATACAGCTAGAATATTTAAACCGAGTATTAAGTAGGTTAGAAATGCAATTTTAGCTCTCCCCCTATTCTATTTTTAAATACTATATAAGGATGTTTACACTCAAATCTTGAGACTAATGATGCCTATAGGAAAGCTGTGGTTGCACTGAAGCAGGGTGACACTAAATCGACACCATTCACTCCGGCATGTTCAGACCTGCCTGTGCTGCCTTCAGCTCCTTTGCAGCCAACAGGGAGAAAAAATCCTCCTAGGACATGGTTCATCTCACCTCATGCTGGTTAGAAAGGGAGCTTGCAGTGATTAGTTTAAATTTCTAACTTTCAGACATACAAAGAATTTCACACACTGTTTGCTCACCGTTTCCTGTTAAAGTATTCCCTTCCATTTTTTAAAAAAATACGTACTAATGTCCCCATTCAGGGCTTCAATATCACGTCCACTCCTGCATGAATGGCACACACAGTGTTTCCTCCTCACTCACACTGGGATGTCAGAGGCTCCAAAAAGAAATCTTTCTTCACAGTGTTTGCTACTAACAGGAACAGAATAAACCCTAATATAGCTGTTCTCACTATATGTAATAATAGTGATTAATTCCTAAACACGACATACATCAGAAAGCATCTACTAAGGCTAAAAATAGTGCGATACAACAGCCTTAAACAGAAGAGGCTATCAATTTGAGAGGGTTTAATTTCTCAAAACCGTTATCCACATATTCTGAGTCTCACCAGAAGAAACGCATGTTATGCGCAGTACATGACAGTCTCATCAGATTCTGTGAAAAACAGGATGTTTGATGATGCAATTAAGAATCTTTGTAGCCACTTTTATAACAGCTGAATACCAAAGGGCCAGTTAATTTTTTTTTTATTGGGAACTTAATCTCAACATTATATCAAATACAAAAGTGACTTATATTTGCCCTATCTCTGTGAAAAATAAAACGATATGCAAGCTTCTAAAATGGAAGCTTATAAGGAGAAAACAACATTAATAACTGTTCCACACCAAAATCAAACTCAAAATTACATACCTCAAGCTTTGTTCTCTGGATTCCTGCATCTTGGCTTTTTTCACCTGCAAAGACAAAAACGTTCAGGGACACAACTAACGATAGCCATCCTTAACAGAATCTATGCACGCAGACCTCCATTAGCAGATCACCACTGGTTACTATAGAGTTCGGATTAGTGTTTAAATACAGAAAGCCTTGCATTGAACTCCAGAGCTAACCAGTGTAACCATGGGTTCTTCATCTCAAAACAAGCTTTTTCCTAATTAGAAAACAAGTGCTAAAGCTGAACGTGTTAGCAAAATTGCTATGTTATTTAAGTAACAGATGAAGGATATACCGCTACAAACATCTGATAAGGACAATTTTATGGAAAGTGAATAAAACAGCAACAAATTTTAAGAAAATCTTATTCTGTATAAATTCAGCACAACTGCCATAAACTTGGGTCTTTTGCTTTTCCCCCCTATATTTAAATATTATATAAAGATAGGAACTTGAATATTTTTTCTGTAATAAATTAGAAGTTCCGACTTTCATTTCTGAGTAAAAACAATACAACATTTATTCTGGTTTTGTAGGTGGCCAGCTGGATCCAGTTCCTGTATGTGGTATTACACAACAGAAAGCACTGGCTTGAACACAAATTCAGTTTTCTGCATGCAGTACAAATACTACTTGTATATCCTCGGCAGGATGACAGGATTAGTTTCTGTAGCCTGTAGTCTTTTGAGCGAGATGTTCCTGTGATATACTGGCTTTTCTTTCCCCCACCTTCTCCCTCTAGCAGAAAGTTTTACAGCCTTCCACGTTTCTGGAACATGTTTAGATGCCAAACTTGCTGCTTCGGTACCCAGCTGCACTCACGGTTCATCCCAGTCCCCGCGGGGCACTTAGCAGACAGCACTGTTTAGCACGTCTTCTATGAACAGCGTCTGGGAAGGTATGTGCTGGGTATCAGGCTGCAGGGATTCCAGCCCCCCGACTTGGGTACAGTAGTCAAAGAAAGACTGCTGCCACCTATGAAAGCCACTAGCATAAATGCCTCACCATGTTATTCAAGTTTGTCTCTCTCAGGTGAGTGTTAAAAAAAAAAAATGCCAGGAAAATGCAATTTGAGCATGAGAGGTCAAAATACGCTCAAAACTTTTTAAAAAAAAAAAAATTAATAAAACACAGGTGAATTTCCGTTGGGTAGGGGGAGATGGGAGGCAGAGGTACAAAAAAGGATAAAGGCTCAAGGCAGCAACAAGGGGAAAGGAGTGAGCAAACAGTAAGTATGGAAAGGAGAAAGCTAAAAGGACAATCTTCTCTCCCTGATGAAGTGCCATCGGAAGAATTTTGGTTTTTTTGATCATGGGGAGGTTTACATGGCACCGGGCCTGCTGGTGACAGACGGAGTCCAGCTGTCTCACAGGGGAAAAAGGATCATGGCTCATGAATTGGCAGGGCTCATTGAGAGGGCTTTAAACTAGGTTCGAAGGGGGAAGGGGATAAAACCAGGCTCACTAGAGATGAGCCTAGGGGTGGCGTGCCGATGCCGGGGGCGAAATTGATAGCCCAGCTCAAGTGCATCTACACCAATGCACGCAGCATGGGCGGCAAGCAGGAGCTGGAAGCCATTGTGCAGCGGGAGAGATATGACTTAGTCGCCATCACAGAAACATGGTGGGGTGACTCTCATGACTGGAGTGCTGCAATGGATGGCTATAGACTCTTCAGAAGGGACAGGCGAGGAAGGAGAGGCGGTGGGGTGGCCCTGTATGTTAGGGAGTGTTTTGATTGTATAGAGCTCAACGATTGTGATGATGGTACGGTTGAGTGT